CTGCGCATTGCGTGTTCTTATCATTGCCGTGTCTGCCTGTTGCATGTGACAACTGCGCAGCCCATGCCGTTGGCGTGTGTGCCATCACACCGACGGATCAACCACCTTTTGCAACATGGAGACTGGCGAACAGCACGGTGCGGGGCCAGCTATTACCCTGCCTGACCGTCCCCTTGCTCCTGCACAAACCCGTTACCACGGTCATTCAGCATCCACGTTCCTTGTCGGCACGCTGTCACGCTTGCATGCATGGTGTCACGCTTGCATGTGGCCGTCTTTCAGACAAACTGCCCGTTCCGCAACCGCTTGACCTGTTTGATGACCCACGCGACTGGGTGGAGGAGAAAGCAACCGACGGCACCGTCACCTGGTGTGTGTGTGTGTGTGTCTGTGTGTGTGTGTGTGTGTTTGTCTGTGTGTGTGTGTGTGTGTGTGTGTGTGTGTGTGTGTGTGTGTGTGTTTGTCTGCCTGTGTAGGCGCTTGTCCTCAACGGCCCTCCCTAACCGCACTAACCATCATTGCCGCGCAGGTTCAATCCTCGCTTCATGCTGGTGAGCCTCGTTCGTCCGCCCTCACACAAGGAAGGCGCTTCACCTTTCTGCCACTGGGTATGTTGCCTCATGGGAGCACAGCTTCTACTTGCCGTGTTGTGGTTTGCGCGTGCCTTGAACATGTCGGTTGTCGCGCTCTTGCTCCCACAAATGCACGCACACGCCCACACACGCGCATACACACACATACACACGCACACACACATACACATCTGCACGCTAATATACGTGCGCATGCTTTTGTGTCGGGCTGATTGCCGCATCTGCGCTAGTTCTCCATCGAGGCGCCGGGCAAGGGCCGTGGATATGTGCACAAGTTTACGCGCGAAGTTATTTACCGCGACATTACACAGGAGCGCAGGTGTGGACACCATCACCACAAAGCGTCGACGCACGCACACACACACACACACACACACACACACACACACACACACACACACACACACACACACACACACACACACACACACACACACACACACACACACACACACACACCACACACCCC